TCAAGCCAGGCCTATATCCAGGTAAGGTGCTATCCAGTCACCCTGACTCGTGTCAACCCTACACAGAGCAGAGCAGAGCCATGCCCCACAGTGTTCCCAGTGTCTCATATAAATCCTGCATACAGCAGAGCTGTGCCTTACCCCTGTGTCCCACAGGGTCCCTAATGCCTTATTTTTCAGAAGCCTATAGCCAAGCTTTTCTTCTGAAAAGCCTCTGGGAGGACCTGAACCTTCAACCTTTCCGTTAGCTCTGAGTGCATTAACTATTTGCACCACTCCGGGACAACCAAGACCACTGTATATTTGCACTAGGAAAGATGCCTCTTCACTTTTCATCTGCCTTTCTACTTTGTAATTTCAAATTTAAGATTTCAAATAGTTTGCACAAACTATCACTAACTGCAAATCCCACCAGTCCAAACTGGCTTCTTACTTCTGCCTCCTCCCTCAGGAAAGACGGCTCCTAGCCCTGGTTCTGCCATCCATCCAACCACAAGGGCAGGTAGCAAGCTCTGAGCTGAGCCCAGGAGGAGTCACAAATCCTGAAAAGCCTTTGCCTCCCCTGTTGAGAGGGAAACCACCGACATACTTATTAAGTAGCAGGTGAAACTGCATTGCTGTAAAGGGAAGGAAAACCATTACTTAGGTCCCTGCAGGTAAGTGGCAGTCCCTTATTCTGGATTTCAAGTTCAATTCAGCACAAGGACTGCTCGGTGGGCGCTAACGGGAGCAAGTTCTGTGCTGGCGACACCCAGCCAGCAACTCCTGCTTGCAAAAAGCTCAGAATCAGAGCTTAAAACCAGTTCTTTGCAATCTGCTGGGGGAAATGCCTTCCAAAAAGTTTGCATAAAGGACTTTCAGAACAGGAAAGAGTAACTGCTTAATTGCTTGCAAAAAGTTTGTGAATTTAGATCAGGCAGATAAGGAAAAAATGTATTTTAATACAATTAAAAATTCCATCAAACTTTAAGAGTGTAGACCATAGGTTACACCATCACACTGTGTTCTTCCTTGGCCTAAAAGGGCATTTTTCTGAAACTGTTTGTCTAAGAGACAGTTTTTTAATGGAGTGAATGGAGAGACTGCGCTTGTACTGGGGATCTGAGGAACTGTCACCAAACACTGTCCACCAGCTGTCAGGATAAAAAGCCCACAGAACAGCTTGTATCTCTGATCAGCATCATCTCTGAGTTTCTTTAGAATTACTTAATGCACCAGGATCCTGGGTGGCTACAGGGTTTTGCACTGCACCACTGACTTAAAGGTTGGCAGTTCAAACCCCCCAGAAGCCCAGAGGAAGAAAGGTCTAGCACTCTGCTCCTGTACAGACGATGGCTGTGGGAACTCAACGGAGAGCTGCCCTCTGTCAGGCATGGACAGGTCTTTATGAACTGCTGGCACACGTGTGGCTCATCATTGGTCCTGCTTCCCTAAGTCACAATCAAGGGAAGGAACCAACCAGTTTCTGTTTAGTCTGTTTAGATTCTGACTCTTGACGAGCCTGCACATCACAGAAGAAATGGGCTCCACACCGTCTGCCCTCACCTTGATGGCAACGGGGGTTTCCACTGAGTGCACAGCTCACCAGTGGGCTGGCGTGAGATAGTGAAGAAGAACCTCAATTAGCAGCACAGAGCTAATTACAGTCTTTTTAAACTACAACTCCCTAAGGAGAGCTGTAGAAGCAAGACGGCTTGTCCAGTTGTGTCTCTGGAACCCACTGGGGCACAGACAATTCTCTTGGACCCAGAACACAGCCCCACATCACCGTCAGGAGGACTCTGGGGGGAAACTTCCTTTCCTCATCAACTATAGGGGAGGGCTTTGTCTCCCTGGGGCCCTGCTGTCTCCATGTCTAGGAGTTTCTCAACCAGGGGCTGTGAGCCCAAAGAACACATCCAACTCCCAGCTCTTCTTTCTTGCTGGTGGTCCAAACCTCAGTTCTCTGTCCTTTAATCCTGCTACAGGAATGGCTACTGTCACTGGGTAACTCATAACACTCTCCATGGTGCACGCCAGTGAACCACTTGTGATTTTGTTTATCCAATTCATGAGACACACACACCCCTAATTGTAGGGCTGGAACCATGCCCCACAGGGGCTGATCTTTCTAATGCAGCCTTTTCTTCCAGGGCACTCCAGCCCAGCCCTGCCACCTGAGCTCAATACAGACACCACTTTGTCGGGCCTTTGCCAGGAAGCTTTTCGACACAGATTTAGGTGTTGGTATTGAGCAGAATCTGTTTCCATGCCAGTGAATCACAAACCCAGCCTGGCTTCACATAGGCCCCTCCAGGGTGCAGTCTGAGTAGCAGTGGGCATGGGGATGTCTCACACCCCTGTCCCCTTCCCAGGTGTCACCCGCTCTCAAATCACATCTCAGCAAGTCTGTTCACATCCCAGCTTGGATCCCAGGTTTCATCGGAATGAAATGTGTCACATTTCATTCATAAAATACATAATTAAAACAGACAGACAATTATGATGGAAAATAGCACACTTCCCTAGGCCTGAACATTTTCTTGTATTTTGAGAACTGGATATGGGATTACATAGTGGCCAGAACACATACAAGATAATTCTGCCCACAACCTCTGGACACTGAACCACGACCTCAGCCAGGCCAGGACGGTCAGGACTCAGGATGTGATGGCCACGTTCCCCACTCGTCACCTCCTCTTCCAGCTCAGAGACCTGGAGGCACGGGGGGAAGCACACAGTTGCTAATCAAAAGGTCAGTGATCCGAACCTACCAGCTGCTCCACTTGAAAGAGGAAGCGCTCAGCTTCCATGAGGACTGTTGTTAGGTGCCTTTGAGTTGACCCAGAGTCCTAGCACGTGTATGAGCACCAGCCCGACACCTTGCCTTGCTGTAAGGCCTACAGCCTCGGACACCCTGGGGGGCCGTTTTGTTCTGTCCACACGGTGGCTCTGAGTTAGAATCAGCCCAATGGCTGTGGTGGATCTTTGGTGACCATATCAGCAACAATCAGAGCAAATATGCATCACAAGCCAATCACATCACACGTCCTGCTCCCCATTAGCTATCTCCACTTCCCCACGCCAACAGAGGACACTCTGGAACATTCAGGGAGCCGGTAACCATAGGCCTTCAGGTCAGCACTGACTAGTGGGGCCCCTCGGTGTATGAAAGCAGCACTGCTCACTACACAGCTGCCAGATGCATTCTCTCAAAAGGCTTCTAGAAGGACTTGAATCTCCAATCTTGCAGCTGGCAGCCAAGCAGCTTACCTCACACGCTGTGCCCCTTGGGCTCCCAGCTGCAGGCATAGATAGAGGCACTTTCAAAAAGTATTTGAGAACATCATTTGGAAATAGTTATCATGTTATGGGAGTAAAACACAGAGTTCCAAAAGGTGTGCCCACGTGTCCGTTAACTGCATTTGAAGAATCCTGTGTCTGTGTACATCAGGACTTAGATAAATCACAAGCAGACCTTTCTTTCTGTGTGCAGTTGTTGTTGATAGGTGCCATCGAGTCAGTGCCCACTCAATCACATATAACAGAGGAGAACTGACCCATAGCGGTCAGTCACAAAGGTTGCAAGGCTGCAACCTTTACGGGAACAGGTCCTGATGGAGTAGTTGGGTGTATCTGAACCACAAACCATTTGGCTAGAAGGCAAGCTTAACCATGACACCATGACACCACCAGGGCTCCTGTACAGTCCTAACCCAAAACCAAACCCACCATGGTCAAGTAGGTGCCAAGCAGTAACAACCCTGCAGGACAGGGCAGACGTGCCACCTACTGTCTCCAGGCCTGCAGCCTTGACAGGAGGGGCTCCAGGACATAGTCCATCAGGAGTGCTGCTGCCAACTGAACACTGTGCCCCTCTGGCAGTTCATATCGGCCATAGCAGTTCATATTGGCCAGCGGCAATCTCCTCCCAGGCGACTTAGAGCTCAGACGTCCAGTGAAGAGGCAACTACGAGTTAGTTCCAAACTCAACAGCAACAAGTCTGAGTTCTGAGTTGGAGCATCTTTAGGGGAGCTGACGGCCACCGCTTTCTCCTGTGCCCCAACTGCACCACCAGGCTGCTTCCGGACACACCAAATGCAAATGCAAGCTCACTGCTGTCTGGTGGGCTCCGGCTCAGAGCAAGTCTCCAGCGGCTTTCCAAGGCTGGGAACCTCAGCAGGAGGAGGCTGCCAGTCTTTCTGGAGGTGAGCACCTGGCAGAGTCAAGCTGTTGCAGATGGGCAGCCCTTAGGTTAACAGCTCAGTGAGCTACTCTCTGCATCACCAGAGCTCCCTCCGTTAAGACCACATGGCCACATAAATGTAAAAAAAAAAAATCTAACAGAATATTCACAACAAAATATTTAACAAGGGGAAATCCTCTTATTTATTCTGGGGAAAGGATCTGGATTTGAAAAGAAACATTCCCTTTATTTAGATTCTTGGATCTTGTTCTCGTGAATAAATTCAAACCGTATTTGTATAAATTCACTACCTGATGTTATGGGGTCTCCTTTAGAACCCAGGAGGAGGGGCCCACACCCCTTCCTCAGGGCTTCCTACTTGCTTCTAGCCCATCAGCACCGTCATCTTGTCACTGCACCCCAACACCTGCAGGTCAGTGCCCTGGAACCAGGTGAATCCAGAAGGCTGTTAGTCCACCTCCTGAGTCCAAGCCCCAGACACACCAGCACCACAACAGCACCATCCCTCAGAAGGCGGCGCTGTGGCCCCCACTCCCAGCTCCTCATCTGTCACCTGAACCCCAGCCCTGATTCTGCCAGCCCTCAATGGGGTGAGACAGCGGTCCTGCGTCTGTGGCTTCCCTGACGCCCCAGTACAGGCACGTCTCGATTTACTGCACTTCAGAGCTGGTGCATTTGTCACATGATGAAGGTTAGTGGCTACCCTGCGTCAGCAGCCAGGGGGTCAGCACACGGGCTACTCAAAGGTCATCAATACTCATTTCATTCATGCGCATTCACTATCCCACCCGCCCACCAGACAAAGGCTCGTACCTGAGCGTGAAGTGGTCCGCCACGGAGCCACTGTTGAGTGACACCAGGAAGGTGGCCGTGTCCCCTTCGCGGATGAGGTTCAGGGGCACCGAGATGACCACGTTCTCATCCAGGCTCAGCAGTGACCACCTCAGGTCATCCTGGGTGGGGTAGACCACGACACTCCCAATCCTCTCCCGGGCAGGGAGCACGGGCTGGGGGCTCTCCTGGCCCGAGTGGATGTTGTTCTCCCACTTGGCATCCTCATCAAGGGGGCACTGGCCCGCCTCGTCGGCTGGGTGGACGGTGAAGAAGAGCTCCATGGCAGTGCCGCCCAGCATGGCCGGGACCTCCTCCTCTGGCTCCAGGTCCAGGCCGGAGCTGAACCACTCAGGTAGCAGCTCCAGCTCAGCCACACACAGCCCCGGGTCCCCCTGCAGGCGGCAGCTGGCCACCACCTCCCTGGCCTCAGGGTAGGCGAACATCCTGACACAGGGCAGGCTTTCTGCAGGCTCACCGCTGTCCCAGTCTGTCCCAGTGACGTAGAACAGGGTCTGCACCTTGGGCCTGTTGGAGTAGATGGAGCTGTCGAGGATGTGGGACTTCAGTTTCCAGCTGAAGGGGAACCTCTCGGAGCTGAAGGACGTGGCCGTCAGCATGAGCTCCTGCGGGACCATCTTCTGCACTGTGAAGGGGCCGTAGCTGACGTTGACCAGCGGAGGCGTCCTGGCGCGGGAGATGAGGAAGGCCTCGACCCGCGTCTGCAGGCTGGAGTTGCGCGTCAGGTCCTGGTTGGCCTCCTTGAGGAAGAAGGACTGCTCAGTGCTCTCAATGTTGAAGCTGGCGGGGAGGTAGGTGGGCAGCGAGGAGAACCTCTGCAGGCTGTCCATGACCCCACGGCTCGCTGTCCCTGCACAGAAGAGGGAAGCAGAGGGGGTCAGAGCCTAACAGAGCAGGTCGGAGCCGAGCTCAGATGTGGAATGAGACAGACTGATACAGCCTGCAGCAACTCTCCCAACAACCCCCACTGGCTGGGCCATCTCACCTCCTACATACATCCTAGCCAATGTCCTGTAATCAAACCCCCCCAGAAAAGCAGCACTGGGCACTGGGGAGGTACAGTCCCCTCTGCAAGGGGACCCACTGTCCAAGTACAGGGGACCGAGGTCATTTCTGGAGCACTCATAGCCACGCCCAGCAGTCAGTCACTGCACCCTCCCCGATAGGCCGGCCGCTAATGCTTTACTGTGGAGTCCTGATATACCTTACATGTTGGGCTGCTAATTGAAAGACCAGCAGTTCAAATTCAACAGGAGAAAGAGCAGGGGAGAAATCCACAGGGGAAAGAGCTTCCACTAACAGTCACAGCCTTAGATAGCCGCAAGGAGGGTCACCACGAGTGAGAATCACCAAGGCAGCAGTGAGCATACTTTCTGGTTTGGGTTGGCCCTGTAAAGCTCAAGCACAGAGGACCGTGACAGCTGCTGACCACCCTGAGGAAAGCAGACTACACACAGCTTTGCCCAGCCAGGCCCGTTGCATCAAGGAGTGCTGGTGGCATAGTGGACTTGAACGTTCTAAACAAGCAACCTTGAGCAAGTTACTTAACTTGTCTATGCCTCATATATCACAGGACAGACCTGTAATTTTTGTTCTATGCCATCAAACCAACTCATAGTTCACCCTTCAACGGGTTTTCGGAGGCTGTAAACCACATGTGAGGAGATTGCCCATTTTTCTCCCACAGAGCAGCGAGTGGATTTGAACCACCTGCCTTTGCGCTGGCAGCACAACCCCTAACCACTAGGTCTCCTGAGCTCTGCCTACTAGAAACAACAGAACTAACCTATAGAGGCCCCAAGGCTGCCACCTTTACAGGTATGCACAGCTTTATCTTTCTCCTGCCCCTGCATGTGATTAAGGTTGCCATAGGGTCAATTCTGACTCGTAGAGACAGTAAGATAAAATGGAACTCTGCTTTATTGGGTTCATTAATAAGTCTGAAGCTGCTCCAGCAATGTTTAGCACATATAAATGGTCTGTCGTTATTTCAATTTCTACTAAGGGTTCACCAACAGGAGATGAGAGGAGCTGAGCTACCACTCTACGTACATACTGATGGGGTGTCCACAATATATTATCAGGCATATTGGAATGATAAAGCTAAATATAAATATGCCATACATGATGTCACTCGGGTTAATTGTTTCAATGCCACATTTCTTGGCATAGATTAGTGAGCACATCCAGGGCTGCATTTGTTTGTTGAATTATGTCCATTAGTATTCCACTGACTCCTGGGGCCTTATTCTTTTGCCAAGGCCTCCAGTGCAGCTGAATTTCTTCCTTTAGTACTATTGGTCCTTGATCACATGTTACTTCCTGAAATGGTTCGGGAAAGTCTATAGGTATAGATGTTGTTGTTGTGTGCCATAGAGTCAGAACCAACCCATAGCTGACCCTCCAGTGGGTTTTCAGAGGCAGTTAACTGCATGGGAGGAGACTGTCCATCCTTCTCCCATGAAGCAGCTGGTGACCTCGAACAGTATGCCTTCAGGATTGCAGTGCAGCTTCTTGCCACTAAGCCACCAGAGCTCCTGGTGTAGATGTGTGTATATTTAAGTGATTTAAGTGTGTCTGGTTTTAGAACCCACAAGAAAGTATCGCTTTTTACCATCTATGCTTCTATTTCCTTCTTTTACTTTTTTTAGTTAGAATAATCATGTGTTATTTTAAAAACGCATGTAATTTTAAAAATATGTCTTTTTCTTAATGTGTTTTTCTAAAATGCATTCTCATCAAGAACAAACACCCAACAAATAGGCTTTTTCAAACCCGAGAGAACACGTGAGGAGACAGGAGTGAGTAAACCAGGCAGCCAGGAACCTGCCGCAGATCCACCTCCAGACTTGGCTGAATCTTCGCGTACGCTCGGAAAGAGACGAATCTGACTGTGGGAGAGGGGCACTGCTGTCTTGTTTTGGTTCTTCTAACATTTTATTATGGTCTGGGTGAAAGTTTATGGAACAAACTCATTTCCCATCCAACAATTCTGATTGTGGTATTTAAAATACAGCATCACGAGAAGGTTTAAAGGCAACAGCCAGTGCCCCTGACCCTCAAAAACGTCCCCCATCCCCGCCCCCCGCAGCTCCTTGTGAATTCTATAAAAGACCATATTCTGCTGCTTTCAAGATAATGTAGCCTTTTCTGGGCTGTCCTGGGTGAGCTTTCCATTCCTGGAGGGTGACAAAATTGTAATTTAGGAACAGTAAAAACTACCCAGCCATGTAGAGGCAGGTACACCCTTTCTTTCAGGAAGGTGTTTAGAAAGTGCCATCAGTATGACTAGTCCCATGGCGGGTTTATTGATGGGGAAGGAGGGTGGCCACTTACTCATTTATACGCCCAATAACTTATCTAACTATTGTCATGGACTGATGGGGTCTCCCCCAAAATATGCGTATGTACTGACAGAGTGTCAAAGATATATAATGACACCATCCCCACCCCCCACCCCCCTACCCACACACACACACACCCCCCATCTGATAAACCAGTTGTAACCAGATTAAGAATGGGATGCCACACCCTTAGGACCATCACAGCCCTGATTTGATGCAAGGGGAGTTTCTCTTGCGTGTGGCCTGTAAACACTTTTATTTATTTTATTTTATTTATTTTCTTTTGTTTACATACAGTAAACAGGAAGGAAAGCAAGCAGAGAAGGGAGAACTTCAGCAACACCCACAGTTTCTAGGGGTGGACCTACCTCCCTGCCCTGGGAAGTTCCTCAGCATGGGGAAACCATGACAAATGGAGATCTCCCAGGAATACCAGGAGATGCAGAAGGAGACGAAGCCCTTCTCCAGGACCAACACCACACTGAAACTCAGAATCCGGGCATCTAACCTCCTCAACTTGTCAGAGAGTAAATGTCTTTACTAAGAAGCCATCTGCTTGTGACATCTCTGCTACAGCAGCACCGATAACTAAGACTACTCTACATATTATGCCCTGATTATCTTTGCAGCACAGCTTTGTAGAAATGCCACAGGGTTAAGACTGACATGGCAAAACTTGGCTAACAAGCAGGAAACTGAGTGCCAAGGTCCTTAAAAAAAGCCCTGTCTCAGGATTTCTCCACCTGGGAATTTGTTCTAAGGAAATACTCGAGAGATTGGGAAGGGAGATTAATGTGCAAGTATGTTCATCACAACATGATTTATAATAGAAACACAGTGGAGGCAGCCAGAAAATTCATCATTCGGAAATTAGTCAATAAATTATTAAAGCAAGTCTGTGTGTGCAGTCCATCACCCATGTGTCAGTGTGTCAGGCTGTGGTGGTTTGCATGTTGCCAGGAGGCTGGGCGCTGTGCCACCGACATTCCAGATACCAGCAGAGCCATCACACTGGACAGGTTTCTGTAGAGCTTCCAAACTAAGACAAACTAGAAAGAACCACACAGTGACCGACGTTCAGAACGCCACCAAGCCTTGTGGATCACAGCACAGCGCTGTCCGATACAAAGTTGACTAGGAGAACCCCTAGACTGGGGGGGCTCTCACAGTCTACAGTGGCCACAACAATAGACAGGAGCAAACCAACAATTATGAAGATGATACGGGGCGAGGAACGGTCTCGTCTGCTGCCCTTCGGGTTACCAGGAGCTGGAGCCAATGCAACCATAGCTGTAACAAGGCGAGTATGTAAACACGAAAAGGCATCACGTCAACAAACCCGTTGTGCGCTTAAAGCACAGCAAGTGGAAGGATAAACACCAAAACTTGGTTCCAATTATTGTAAAACATGTATGAGGATCGAAGGGGAGGTGGGGGGGGCAAAGGGGTGAGGGTGGGTGGGGGTTGGGGTAGTTAATCATAGGGTCGCACAATTTGATGGGTTGGAGGAAAAGGTCGGTAAAGGAAATGGGAAAGATCTGGTGTGAAAAACAATGTATATGGGCTTTGTAAATAAATCAGCATAAAATAAAAATTTTCTTTAAAACAAACCTGGTTCCAATTTTCCCATACCTGAGATATGAGATATGCCACACACGTACATAAACACATACGCACATGATGTGTTCATGTTAATAATACAGATCTGGGATCCTTCCAACACGTGCGTGTCTAGATGCTCAGAATTTGGACCAAAGATCAAGGGGAGAGAAATGACTTAGAAGAATCATCTACATGAATGTCTTAGCTGCTGCTGCTACCAAAAGGCAAGTTTGTGTTTTGCCAGAACCACCATTCTGTATAAAAAGTCAATTCCTTTTCTGTTGGGTTGTTCAGTTCTTCAAACCAGGAAGCTCCATCCCAGGCGACCGTGCCCATGAATGAACTGGCAATGAGGATGGCAGTTGGTGGTAGCAGCCACCGGGTACAGAGTGAGGCCTCTCTTCAGCACAGAATGACCAGGTTTGGATCAATGCCTCCCCCTGGGATTTTAAAGGAAGTTCTAGGAAAGGTTTAAACTCCAATCAATTTCCACGTGTGGGAAAGGAAGTTCAAATAAATGCAAAGACTAATGTAATGGGCTTTGTTTTCATGGTAGACAAGTTTATTGTCTTATCTCTTATGTGGGTGTTTGACTCCTCTTTAAAAAAAAATTATTTACAAGGAAGTTAAAGTGGTGCCTTCCCTCTTCTTTATTGTGGCCAAAGCCTTCATTTTATCTGAAAGACCTGATGAGGTTTGCACAGCTATCCCACTATAACTCAAGCAAAATGCAATACAAATTCTGGCTGAAAGCTTATATGGAGAGCCATAAACATCACAGTCGGGGCCTCGTGTTGGCCTCAAACTAGACCCCCACAAAATACGACATCTGGATTTAGGAGCTCTTCACGGCATGGCAGAGCTGCATCCTGAGAAATGCACCAGGCTCGGAGCCAATATCCTCCCTCTCATCCCAAACGTGACCATTGGTGGGCAGACCATGTGGCCCTGGTTCTGAATAGAAAATGAGGTTCCATTCAGTTCATCGATTTCTGACAGAGCTTTTCACCCTGGCTGAAGGAAGTGGGCCCTGAGAACACAATGTGAGAACA